GATGGCTGAACACCCGCCTGCCCATGGGAAGGAGGGAATGAATCCCTTGTTCTGCTTTGCTTGCGTGCGCGGCTTTTGCTTTCCCTATTAAACTGTCTTTCTCTCAACCCACGAGTTTCCTCACTTTTACCCTTCCGATTCTCTCCCCCATCCCACCGTGGTGGGGGGGGAGTGAGCGAGCGGCTGCGTGGTTCTCGGTTGCCGACTGAGGTTAAACCACGACACCACTCAAAAGCAGAAGTGGAATTTAGCGGAGGCAACCTGGACCTGATAGACAGCTGAGGAATGTATTTTATTCTTTACTGAACTACTCTTTTCCCTTTCTTGGTTTGGTTTTGTTCTTGTTAACTAAGGGAAACGCTGTCTCTGTGTGCAGCCACTTCTCCAAGTAAAGCTCGGTTAGATTTTTTTTTAACGTGCGTGATGTAAGTCTCGGGTGACTGGCGAGAGAAACGGCAGGTTGAGCTGGGGTGGGGTGGGTGGGATGCAGAGTGTCTCTAGAGTGTCCGACAGGAAGGGTCTTGCTTTTCCTCACGTAGTCCTACTTCATCATGAGACACTCTGGCTCGATAGGAATTGGAGATTGTTTATATTGTTTATTCTGTAAGCGGGAAAGAAAGAAGGCTGGGAAAAAAAGCATCAACCTTTTAAAATGTTATTTCTTTTTGAAATCTTCTCATTTAGACTACGCTCCTGACGCGGCTCTCTAACGAACCACACAAGAATGGAGGAATGAAAGAAAACCGCAGCGAGCCGGGGCACGTTGGGGGTATTTGGATTTCCACGAGCCCTCTGGTGCCAAGTTCCTGAACTGCAGATACTGCAAGAAGATCGAGCGAGCCTCTGAAGAAGTAGTTAAAAATGTGATTAAAACCTCCAAGCTTCTGAGGGCGTCAGTGGACCCCCCCCCCCCCCCCGAGGGCCAGCACAGATGGAAGCCATGAAGGAAGCCGGGGTGGAGGTGCCCGTCCCTGGTGGCTGCCTTGAACTGGAAGGAGGTGAGCCCTGGTTAGAGGTGGCAAAGGCAATGTGCAGGCGGCTCTGATGAATCCTTGATGTGTTTCATCGAGAAGGAGGGGCGAGCTCTGATCCCCGGGACCTGGGAAGGGAGATCCTTTTCCTTGTGCGTTGTTCGGGGCTCTTCCTGGAGCAGGGTGATGTGGGGGCGTGCGATGGCGGGTGCAGGACAACCCTAGGACTGCCTGAACTCTATGGGGGATGAGGAGGTAACAAAGCCGTGGGGCTGTAAGGAAATGGTGTCTCCTCGTGGCTCTTGGTGGCAGTGACGCTATTCACAGCTGAGAGGACAGAGATCTTGGTTGCGTCGGGGAAGTCGCAGCCCCACCAAGGCCCTCAGTCATCGCCACCACAGGCTCTCCCATGCTGTCCCATGCCTGCAGCAGATCTCCCGCAGACTTTGGCCACCCCCCACCCCCCCACCCCCGCTTCCTCACCTCACTCTGAACCTAGGATCGCCCAGGCTTTCGGAATGTCTTTTTGCCCTAGGGAGGCCTTTTCCTTCTAACACAAAGCTTGTGGTCTTCTGGGGATTTGCCAAACCCGTGACTCCCCAAGCAACACAGCCAGGTTCTTTCAAAGCTAATGCTCCTAAGTCACCTAAGATATCCCAGCACCGTACTTACTTATCACAGAATCATAGAATCATAGGATAGTTTGGGTTGGAAGGGCCCTCTAAAGCCCACCTACCCCGCCCCCCCCCTGCCGTGGGCAGGGACATCTTCAACTAGAGCAGGTCGCTCAGAGCCCCGTCCAGCCTGACCTGGAATGTTTCCAGGGATGGGGCATCCACCCCCTCTCTGGGCAGCCTGTGCCAGTGTTTCACCACCCTCAGCGTAAAAAATTTCTTCCTTATATCTAGTCTAAATCTATCCCCCTTTAGTTTAAAGCCATTCCCTCTTGTCCTGTCACAGCGGGCCTTGCTAAAAAGTTTGCCCCCATCTTTTTTATAAGCCCCCTTTAAGTACTGATAGACTGCAATAAGGTCTCCCCAAAGCCTTCTCTTCTCTAGGCTGAACAACCCCAACTCTCTCAGCCTTTCTTCACAGGAGAGGTGTTCCATCCCCCTGATCATTTTCGTG